ATTCAGGCTGACCCTGAGCTCACTTTGTAGCCCGGGCTGGCCTTGAACATGCAACAATCCTCCTGCCTCAGCCTCCTGAGTGCTGGGATTACAGGCGTGCACCACCAAGCATGGCTTAACTCTAGATGTTGACAGCCCTCGAATGCCAGCTTGACCCAGAACCTTCCTTTGCACTGTGGAGAGTGTGTGTATGTGTGTGTGTGTGTGTGACAGACACACAGACACTAACTCTGGGGAAGCTAGTTAGGAAAAAGGGGAAGTGCAAGAGGAAAGGAGGGCATGAAAATGCAGGTATTGTGTCTAGAACTGAACACAGCTTCCAGAGGGCACCTGATGAATCCTCAGCAAAAGTGCATTAAGCTGCATTAGGCCTTGAAAAGTCATAGGGAAGAGGCCCTGTGCCTGGGGGAGAAAGGATGAGGAACTTCTCTGTTGGTGGCTCCAATCTCATTTGTGTCACCTGGCCCCTCTGGGCAGCACCTGCAGAAGCCAGCATGCCCATGGGGCCTCAGGCGGAGGCACTTCAGCTCTTTTGCTGAAGGAACAAAAGAGCCTATGCCAAAGTTGACTCTCACCTAGGAGAGGCTGACATCATAGGGAAAAAAGTGCCCAGGACTTTATGCTCACAGGACAGGGACACACACTGCTGCTTGGCCACTCTGGTTGGGAGCCAAGGCCAGAGGACAGATGGTGCTGAGCAGATCCAGGGTCACCCCAAACTTAACTAAATTCATCACATTCTGTTTCACTGGTGTAAAGAACAACCCAAGCTGCTGTCCCTGGGATAACCCTGGCTTGCTCCCACTGAGGTACTGCTCCTTCTTTCAGAAGCCAGACTCCCAGACAGAACACAGCTGAGCAGAAAAGGGCAAGAGAGGGGCCAGGCCTTTAGCTCAGTGGTGCACTGCCTGCCTGGCAAGCATGAAGTCCTGAGTTCGATTCCTGATACCCCGCCTCCCCGCCAAGAAAAGGGCAAAAGAGCGAGGCATGGTAGTACAGGCTTGTAATCTCAGTGCTTGGGCAACTGAGGCACAAGGATTGCTGCAAGTTCACAGGACTATACTACATAGCGAGACCCTGTATCAAAAAAAAAAAGAAAAGGAGAGGAGGCCAAGAGCAGGCCCTAGGCATCACTGCAAGTCTCAGAACAAAGCACACTGACAATAAGATTTCAGTCACTTCCCCAGCATTTTATTTTGGTCTCAAAACTCTAAGGAAGCTGCCCCCAGGATGACCTTCAGACAAGCCTTACCACTGTTATGAAAGGTTGTGTACCTGTCAGGGAATGAGCAGCATGAGGAGTGGGACCTTCAGATAAAAACTGCCTGAGCTTTTCCTATGGAGACTAAGCACAGTGCAGGCCTCATTCTAGGCAGGCGCTTTTGCCGCTGAGCTAAATCCCCAGCCCCCAGGCCTCATTCTAGAAGCAACAGCACAGAGCCATTGAGACCACAGTGCTGAGTGCATCCCCAGCTACACAGTGGCCTGACCTCAAGGAGAAGGCACAGGGAACCCCAACCATGCCCTCTATCTTTCTTTGGGGGGAATTAGGTCCCTGTTATGGAGCTGAGGCAGGAGGGCACATGCTGACTGGCAAGTGGCAGCATGACTGGTCCTGCCTCTATCACCTGCAGTCCATGGAGCCTCACGTGAGGTGGAGGCCATAGAATTCTTTCAGTGGGCACCTCCATTTCTACTGTATTCTGCCTGAGGGGAGGGGTCTGTGAGCAGTGTCCTGGGAACTGTCCTGCTGAGACACAACAGGCTCTGGGGTTCAGATGCACTTTAATCAGTGTCCCACCCCTCTCCAGACCGAGGGGGTGGGGTGCCCTCCTTTAATCACAGGAGCCATCCTTCCAGCCGTCACGCCAGCGTTCATCCACCTGTGAGCAGTCAAAGTCGGGCTTGCCCAGCTTTCGGTTCACCTCGTTGTGCAGACGGCATAGCCACTGGGTGAAGGATGCCCGAGTTCGAGTGTCTGGCTGGTTCCTGCCTATCCTGTGTGTAGGGAGCACAAGAAAGATGGTGGAAGAAAGCAGTGGCCATGCTGTCCCTGCCAGCTCCTGGGGAGGGAGCTGGGTGCTGCAGTGAGCCATACCTGGCTGTGCCCTCCTGCTCTAAGGTTCAGGAATTCCAAGAACAGAGCTGACCCTGTGGTTTCCTGGGCTGCTTCACACATTCACTTGGGGAGCGTGGCAAACCCTGACAAATGCCCAGGGCAAGACATTAAATAAAGCACAGGCATTAACTTTACGACCTTGTAACAATCAGGAGGCCTCAGCTCAGTGTCTCTGAAAGAAAGGCAGACTGCAGAGGGATAGGGCCATGCACAACCACGTAACTGTAAACAGTACCTGAAGCCTGGTGCGCCAGTTCAGCAAAAAACCTCATTCTAGTTGCCCAGGCTTTAAACTTAATTGTCAGCTCTACTGCACATTTAACTGCAAAGCACTTATGAGGGAACAGGCTTGAACCTTGGATGCCTTGAGGAAGAGGCTCTGGGGAGGAAAGCAGTATGTTCCCAAGGTCTTAAAACCAGCAGTCCAGCTCTGTAAGTTAGGCAAAGTGTAGTCCTAGCTAACCTGTCTAAGGCCTCCATGAGTGCAAAGCAAGGCACCTATCAGGGAAGCCCTTTCTGGAAGTGTGACTACTGCCAAAGCCCAGCAGCACCCAGGGGAGGGAGAAAACTCATGTAACCCACCCTCTCCCAGACGGCAGTCCCTGCTCCTAGGCAATCTTCTGCCATCTCTGCATCCATTTTGCTAGGCTCTCTGTGGTATCAGTCAAGAGACCTTTCAGTAAGGTTCTGTCGCCTGCAGACAGTGGTCACAGCTTACCTCTCCCTTATGTCTTCAGCACACTCCTCACACGGGTAAAACTTGGAAAATAAATGTATGAATTGGGCCATGTCTTGCTGCTGTTCTGGGGTGGGATGCTCCGGGTAGTAGGCGGCCAGGGTGTGAAGCAGAGCCCAGCTGTGGCGGCCCAGTTCCTCGCGATCCTGGGGACAATCCTCCCTAAACTTCCTGTCCCGCTGCAGAAGTAGGGCCGACTAAGGGTCAGTTCATTCTCCCCGCAACCAGAGACCCACAAATATTCCCCTTCGATGTGGCTCAGGGTACAGCACTTGCTTAGCATGCCTCGCGCCACCGCTTCGAACCCCAGCATCTCAAAAAAAAAAGGTTCCCATTTTCAGCCCTGGCCGGAACCCTGACTACGGAAAAGTTCTCAAGGAATCCGGCCCTAGAGCGGCCGAAAGCTCAAAGTTCAGGCCGCGGCGTGGGGGAAGGGCAGGGGCAGGGGCAGAGTTTAGGCACAGCCGACCCCGGGGGCGTGGGCCCATAGGATGCCTGCACAGGGCTCCCGGGAACAAGGCCTAAGGCCGAGAGCCGGGGCTTAGAGGTCGCGCGGGGCACCTGCACCTTCTGCTGGGTCCTCATCCACGTCTTGAAGTCTACGCAGGCACGGCAGGGCCGCTTATGCGAGGCGTCCTGGGTGCCCGTCGCCTCCGGGGCAGGCGCCTGGCCCGGAGTCGGGGGCGGAACGACGGTCTCCTTGCGCCGCGCGCCGCGGCCCCGCGCATCTGTCGCCAGGTCGTCAGTCACGTCAGATCGCGTGCCACCAGGGAGGAAGGAAAAGAGGCTGCTGCGGAAAAAGCTCGCGTGCTCGCCGGCCGCCGCCATCTTGCCCGCGCACAGCCTGCCGGGCCAGGATAACTTCTAGCGGGGCCGCCGGGTTGGCCTCCAGGCCAGCGCGCGCACCACTGCTCCTGCGCGCCCACAGGAACCGAGGCTCGAGGCGGGGCTCAGAGGCGAGGCGGAGCCCAAAGCCGGGCTGCTAGGCAAGGCACGGAGGGAGTCCGGGTGGAGCCGGCGGCCTGGCTGGGGGACCTGGTCAAGGCGACGCCAGGCCTTCTGAACCTCGTTCCCGGAACCGGGCTTCTTGGCGTTCGCCGTCCATTTCGGCGCCCGCGTTTCCCCCAGTAAAAGATCAGCGTATTGTGGAAATAGCGCCGCAGCCGCGTTGAGCTCCCGGGCTGAGGCCCAGGCGGGGTCAGGGATGCGGTCCGCGACACCCCCATCGCTCCTCTCGAGTGATGGAGCTCTGTGCCCTCAACTGAGCCACACACCCACCTAGCTGCTGCTGGCGCCATGGCAACGCGGGGCGCAGCTTTACCGCACAGTGGTCGGAAGGCGCTAGGTGGTGGCGCACGCCTGTAATCCCAGCTCTCAGGAGGCTGAGGCAGGAGGATCGTTGTTCCAGGCCAGCCTGGGCTACAAAGTGAGCTCAAGGCTAGCCTGAACTGCACAGCGAGACCTTGTCTCAAAAAGACAAAAAAAAAAAAAAAAAAAAGGAAGGCGCTAGGGCCCAGGAGCTGTGGGCCGTGCACTTTGGGAACGCGGGTCGGCCTGCAGTTGCTGAAGAGAGGAGCGTTCCCAGCTATCTCATATCTTAAATAAAAGATGATGATGATGATATTATTATTATCATTATTAATTATTTTGAGACAGGGTCGTGCCATATAGTTCAGACTGGCCTGAAATCCCCGTGTAGCCCAGGCTGGCTTCAAATTCTCAGAGATCCTCTTCAGTTTCCCAAGTGCAGGGATTACCCGGCCACTACAGCCAGCCAATACTATTGTTTTTATTGTTGTTTTAGCAGTACTGGGGATTGAACCCATGGCCTCCCCAACCTGTTTTTTATTTTTTGAGGTGGTGTGGTCTCAATTAATCGCTAAATTGCCTGAGCTGGGCTCAAATTTGTAATCCTCCTGCTGCCTTAGCTTTCCACAATGGTGGGATTACAGCACCCACCATCATACCCGGCTGGATAAGGATATTTGTTTTTGAGACAGGGTCTCCCTATGCAGTTCAAGCTGGCCTTGAACTATGTAGCCCAGGCTGGCCTCAAACTCACAGCAATCTTCATGCCTCAGCCTCCCGAGTGCTGGGATTACAAACCAGTGACGGGGTTACAGACATGTAGCACCATGGCTACCCTAGGGGTAAAGGATTATTAAACCCACCTAGATAGTGACCTCCAAGATACCTCTACCTCCACATATTCATTCATTTTACAAAAATTGGTGTAATACATAACTCTGTCCCAAGCACTACTCCAGGTACTGGGCAGGACCAGGAACAAATATCCATCAATTACCTCCTTAATTCATAGTCCAATTAGTGATGAGGATAAGAAAAAAGCATCCCAGTACTCTGAAGGGGTTTTTTTTTGGTACCGGGAATTGAACTCACAACCTCACACTTGCCAAGTAGGTGTTGTACCACTGAGCTATATCCCAAGCCTCTGAGGGTTAAGGCAGGAGGATTGTTACTTTGAGGCCAGCCTAGACTACACAGTGAATTCAAGGCCAGCCTTCACTACAAAATGAGACCCTGTCTCAAACAAACAAAAATAAATCAAAAACCAACAAATCAAACAAGACAGAAAAACTAGAGAATCATACTAATAAATGTTCACTTACAAACTGTGGTTGGTCCACATACAAGGTGCAGAAAATACAAAAGGGCTTCTTGAAGAGGAACACATTAGGCAGAGGCTTAAAGGTATAGAGGTCAGCTAAGGAGCCCCTTCAAAATCAAGCCTAAGATGAGAAGGTCTTGACATTTTGCAGGAGCAAAAAGGCCAATAGGGCAGGATTCTGGGGAGGAGGTGGGAGGGAAAGATACAGAGTTGGCCAGGGTCCCACCAAGGACCTTGTCAGCTGCCATGGAGACTGGGATTTGTTCTAACAGCAGTGGAAAGGTACTGGACAGTTTTGGGCAGGATTACCTTGATCTGATGCCTTTGTTTTTTTTTTCCTTGGGCACTGGGGGATTGAATTTAAGAGTGCTGTACCTGAGCTACATCCCCAGCCCTTTTTCATTTTGAGCCAGAATCTCATTGAATTGCCCAAGTAGGAATCAAACTTGTGATCCTACTGCCTCAGCCTCCAGAGTGCTAGGATTATAGGTGTGTGCCACCATGCCCATTTGTTGTGGTGTTTTGAGACACGATCTCACTGTGTAGTTCAGGCTGGCCTTGAACCCACTAAATAGGTCAGGTTTGCTTTGAATTCACAGTGATCCTCCCACTTCAGCCTCCCTCCCAAATGTTGGGATTGCAGGCCTATGGCCTCATGCCTGGTCTGTTGTAGTTTTTTGTGTGAGAGAAGGTAAGGATGATGGAGAGAAAAACGTGGAAAAATCCAGGTTTGGTGGGGGTTGTCAGTTGGAGAGGCCTCAGATTCCTTGTAGCTCTCTGTCTGTGCCTGGCTTTCTCCGTTTTTTTCCTCCTATCTTCCAAGGTGTCTATGAAGAATCTGTGTATAGGAACAAATCATGCTGGGCATGGTGGCATATACCTATAGTCTCAGCATTCAGGAGGCTGAGGCAGGAGGATCACCACAAATTTCACAAGTTTTTTTTGGGAGGGTACTGGGAATCGAACTCAGGACCTTGTGCTTGCCAGGCTGGCGCTTGTGCCGCTGAGCTATATCCCTGGCCCCTCACCACAAATTTGAGGCTAGCCTGGGGTACATAGTGAGTTCCAGGCCAGCCTAAACTATACACCAAGCCCCTGCTTAAAAAAAGACATGCAGGGGATTTAGCTCAGTGGCACAGTGCCTGCCTGGCAAGCGCAAGGTCATGAGTTCGATTCCCAGTACTGGAAAAAAAAAAAAAAAAAAGAACCACTTGCTAAAGACAGAAGGTGCTAGCAGATGGAAGAAGCAGACAGTTCCAAGATTGCCTAAAGTGCACTATCTACAGACCCAAACATATCTTGGGTGCAGCAGACAGGATTGCTACTCCGAGGCAAAATAAACAGGTTTATGTGCTAAGCTACACAAAGGTCACTGAAGGCCAATTAGAATGTACCTGGACTTTCTCAGAAACTATGTTAAGTGTCAGTTCTGAGACATTCCGGGTGTTACTGCCTGGCCGAAACCTTTGGCTGACCATCGTCATGACATCATTTATCCTCTAAAGTTTGTTTGTGCCAGTATTTCCTGGTAGGCCAGATGAGGGTGAAGTCAATGACTGTAGTAATTTCAAACTAGATCCCTACACAGGATCCCTACAAGGTCTGTCCAGCCCTGGACCCCAACAGGCCAGCAGGGCCCTCAGCTGAAGTTGGGAGGGGAAGGTGACAGTTGTGCTGAAGGCACCCTGGCATTCACCTGTGTCAACAGGTGTTCACTGCCTGGGCCAAGAACAGGGAGGGTTTCAGGACTTCAGAAAGAGCTACTAGTATGGCACACAAAGGCCCTTTATTAAGGCCAAGACAGTTTCCTGGAATGGTGCCCCAAATGTTTACCACTTCAGAGGGCGTGGAGCAGGGGAATTCTCTCAGCCGCTTTTTAGGGCCAACAGCTCTGTTTCTGATTCTATGGGGCTTCATGCCTTTGTCATATGGAACCAATGACTCAGTGCAAGTCCTTTCTCTGTCTTCACTATGTAGCCCAGGCTGGCCTCAAACTCACAGTGATCCTCCTGCCTCAGCCTCCCAAGTGCTGGGATTACAGGCATGCTCCACTACGCCTGACTAAGAGGATGTCTTAATGTCTCCAAGTCAAAAAAGGGGAAATTTATATTAGATAATTACTTTGAGCTTCCCCCCCCTACTGTTCTAAGGATTATTGAGCCCTATACTCACACATACAAGGCAAATGCTTTACCACTGAGCAGTTAGGATTGCCACACCCTAAAGGTGGTGGCCTCAGCACCAGGAAGGATCACTGTGCATCAGGGTTGGCTAGAGCTCTGGAAATCTCCACTACAAGGAAGCAGCCCAGAGAGGTGGGGCACCCAGGTGAGCCCTCTGCCCAGGTATTACAGGGCCTCTTCCTCCCATGATGGGCAGTAGGTCTGGTCTGACTGAGGAGGTTATGCAGTAAGTGGTGATAAACCATGGGCTCGGAGGTGGCTCTCTGAATAGTCCTAGTGACTACCTCTTCAAACTCCAAGTGCTAGTGGCCAAAAGATAGACCCTGTTACTCAAGCCCCAAGTCTCACCAGTCCAAGGGATCCTTAGGGGGATCTTGTCAGGTCCATTCCTTCCCCAATTCAGCCAGAAAAAACTCAAAAGTATCTGGGCAAGCAGGGTGGCACACACTTATAATCCCAACTATTTGGGAGGCTGAGGCAAAAGGATGCAAATTCATGGTGGTCTTGGCAATTTATTGAGACCGTGTCTCAAAATTAAAAAGCAGTTGGGCAAGTAGCTCAGTGGTAGAGCATTTGCCTTACATGTGTGAGTGGAGGCGTCAATCATTAGGACAGTAGAAAAACAAAAACCTAAGGAAAAAAAAAACCCTCAAAATATTTTACACAAATTTCCCCCTTTACTTGCAGAAATTGAGACCCTCCCACATTAGGATAAAACCAGAAAAAGCGCTTGCACTGTCATTGGTTCTAGGTGACAAAGGGACAGAGGTCCACGGAATTCAGAGATAGAGCTGCTGGGCCTAAAAAATCACAGGGGGTGGTGTGGAGACAGGGAGAAGGAACAGAAGAGGAAGAGAGAGAGAAAAATAGGGATTCATACTGGGTGAGTCCTGGCAGGAGGCTGCACCAGGAGGGTGGGGACTCCTAAGGGGAGGGGTGCAGCAGCACTTTGAAGAGCCTTCCTTCTCGCTCTTCCGAAGGTCACACTCTGTATGGAGGGACCCAGATGGCAGCCCCAGCCTTTGTAGAGCCCTGCTAGATTCAAGACTGCCTTGCACACTTCCAGGGCCGGCAGCTCATCCCTCCTTCCGTCTCCACCTTAGGCTCCCCCTAAAACCTGGCGTTCCTGTGACTGAATCCCCTAGATCTTGGGCTTAGGCGACTTCCAGGAAACTTTGAAGGACCAGGGGGCGTGGTAACTCTGCCCGGACTCAGGTTGGGGCACGGGAGGGGAATTCCACTCAGGCTAGTCTTCCGGGTAATTGCTCAGAGCCCCCTTGGGGACTGGCAGGTGGCAAAACCTCTGCCACTCCCCAACACTCCAGAATCACAAGCAACAGAGGCTGCAGTGATGGCAAGTTCCAGGTACCCGGTGTCAATAGCAGCGGCAGCCCTGGTTCAGATGGATCGGCTTCAGGTAAGATGGGACAGGATCTCTGCTGGCCCGGACAGGGTGTCCTATCCAGCCTCTCCAGAGACCCCAACCTTTCCTCATGCAGATGTTCGCCTTCTCCGTACACTGGTCAGATGGCAGTGACACCTTTGTGAGCAGAAGCTGGGATGAGTTCAGGCAGCTCCAGGCAAGTGACCCTGGGGCCACACAAAATGAGACATCTAACTCTGGCCAGGGGGCTGCCCTTTCTACCTAAGGACTTTCAGCCCCTTTGACCTCCTCTCCCTAGATGTACACTGGGTTCTCAGAGACCAACATCCCACTCTCTCCATTAGAAAACCCTCAAGGAGACCTTTCCAGTGGAGGCGGGCCTGCTGCGGAGATCTCACCGCCTTCTCCCCAGGCTTCCAGGTCAGACTGCCAGGGTCCCAGAGGGTGTGGGGAAGGCAAAGCCTGAAGTGGGGTTTGCCAGCTCCTATAATGCGTCTTTGTTGTACCTGCAGACGCACCATTGCTTTCCCGCGGAGGACGCCTGGGCCGCGGACTGGTGCGCCTGAGGCTGCTGGAGACCTACGTGCAGGCATTGCTAGCTACTGCGGACCGCGTGTCGCAGAGCCTAGTGCTCATAGGTTTCTTTGAGCCACAAGCTCGGGACCTGGAATCTGCACTGCCTCCCAACAGGTGCCTTACCACCCCTTCCCCAGCCTATGGAGGTATTATAGAGGCCATGATTGGGCCAACTCATGGGGGTGGTAGGCCCATCCTCATCCTCCCCACCCACTTGTCCTCCTCAGCATGGTGATCCTGCCTGCCCCAGAGAAGCCCTCACCCCGCCCTGTGGACAGCCTTGATATCCACACCCTGGAGGTTCAGAGCCTCTGTTGTGTGCAGCCTTTCCACACCCAGGACACACAGGGCAGGCCCTTCCACACGAAGGCCCAAGAAAGCCTGAATGTGCTGCTTCGACACCCCTCAGGTAGGGCTGACAGGGACCTGAGGACTTGCCCTTCTGTCCCCTGGACTGGGGCTGGCCTCAGGACCCAAACCCCTCCCTTGCTTAATGCATAGGCTGGTGGCTAGTGGAGAACAAAGACCAGCAGAAGGCCTGGTTTCCAGCTCCTTATCTGGAGGCAGCAGCCCGGGAGGGAGACCTGACACAGGGAAACAGCGGTATGACTAGCTTCCACTCCCAGGCCCCTGGATAGGGAGGGAGGCAGCTGCTTATGCTTGATGCTCACAGCTGCAGTGAAGCCGAGTGGGTTATATAGTGACCCTGGGTACCAGGGGAAGCTAGCTCGGAAAAGGTTAGAGCCCCTAGCCTCTTGCTGTACCACCCTGACCCACAAAAATTCACTCCCAGGGACCCAGTTCTGCACTTCCCGAGCCTACAAGGGCACCCGTGCTGATGAACTGTCGGTGCCAGCGGGGGCACGCGTGCAGGTCCTGGAAACTTCAGACCGGGGATGGTGGCTGTGCAGGTATGTGAGGGTGGGGCCTTGGCAGACCCGACCTGTAGTGTAGGAGTAGGGGAGGGGCCGTCTCTGACCAAGTCCATACTCTTCAGGTACTGTGACCAGGCTGGTCTGCTCCCCTCAGTGCTGCTGCAACCTGAAGGGCTGGGTGCATTCCTGAGTGGGCCAGCCACCCTTGGTAGGGAGGACAGGGAGAAGAACAAGACTACCACTGGTCCACCTCCTGTCCCTGCCCGCCCTCCACTGAGTGCCATCCAGAGTCGCTGCTGCACCATCACACGAAGGGCACTGGCGCGGGACTGAGGGCCTCAGAAGCCTTCTTGAAGCTGGCTGTGCACCCCAAGCCCACGCCAAGCAGAATGCCCAGGATCCAGATCCCTGGGATAACGGATAGCTGCATCATCCCCACAGCTGGGAGAGGAATGGATGAGGGTGGGAGGAAGGGGAGTTCCTATTTCCATTGAGTAAAACTTCTGGAAGACTCCACTTGGTCTCACTGTGCTGAAGGCAGGGCCCACGTGGAACCTCAGCCAGGCTGGGGTGATCTGCATTGAGACCATCAGGTGCCAAGGTACATCCTGGTTGATGAAGGCTGTGGCTTCACAACAGTGGTAGGGACCTGGGGAAGACAGCCCAGACCCACTGTGGATAGGAAAAGTATGATTTTATGTGTCTCAGAGAGCTGGGGGGGCAGCAGGGAGTGGGGACAGCTTCATGTTGTGCCATAGGAAGTCCAAGAAGGTGGCTGCCTGCAGTGTCCGGCTCAGCCTCTGAAAATGCCGCTCTGCAGAGGACAGAGGGAGGTCAGGTAGTGCATGTGCCCACCAGGCTGCTCCTCTACCCAGGCTGTGCCTACATACCAGTGTAGGGCAGCAGGGCCTCAAGTGCAGCCCGCACACCCTCATAGGCCAGAAGCTCCTCAGGGGCCTCATGTTGCAGCAGCACATTCAGCACTGCCTGTGCTTCGTGGCAGTGCCGGGAGTTGGTGTTCCATGTGACACAGAAACGCAGGAGGGCCTCTGAGGGCAATAGGGACAGTCACTCTGCCTGCCAAGCAGCTCCATCCTCCCCCTGCCCACCAGGCCACCCCTGCTGACTGGCTTCTGCCCACATGCCCAGGACCTTTCTGGTCTCGCCGCAGTCGGAGCACGGTGGCTTCTAGCTTCTCACAGGCCTCTGGGTCCTTCCGAATGGCTATAGGAGGAGGCAAGTCTAAGCCCCAGGAAGGGGTTCAATGGTCCCGAGTCTGCCCCAGCCCTAACCTGCCCCCGGTGGCAAGTACTGACCCTGGATAACTGTCAGCACTGTGTGGGGCCGATCCAGGGAGATGGCCAGGCCTAGTGCCCGCAGGTATCGCTTTTCATGGAGCAGGTTGTCCAGTTCTTGCTGCCTGGCAGTGGGAAGGGGAGGATAGGGGCCACTTGAACTGTGACTGGGGCTGAAGGTAGAGTCAGGAGGCCTGCACCTCACACCCATTGGTATGAGCTCAGCCCACAGCCTCAGTGTCCCTATAGCATAAAGCAGAGGTATACAGACATGCCTTTGTGCATGGGGGCGCTACGGCAGAGCCCGTGCTTACTTGACCACCTGCTCCTCCCGCTTGGCCTGCTCCTCTGCCTGTTCTGCTTCAGTCACATCCTGGGATTAGAATGGGGTTAGACAGGTATCCCTATTCCTTGCCCTGCCCACGCCTCTCCTCAGGGCCCACAACCTTCCAGAGAATGACTCGGGAGTCGCTGGCACCAGTGAGGGCATGGTCGTCCATCTGGTTGCAGTGTAATCCCCAGACCTTGTCCTCATGGGCGTCCAGGGTCCGCACACACTCGTTGTTTTTGATCGTCCAAAGCTTCAGGAGCCCATCTGAGCCACTGGGTTTGGGATGCAGGAGACCTCAGTGGGAAGGGCCTGTTCCCCACCCCATCCTCACCCCCACCCAGCCCTTAGCCCACTCACCTGGACAGTAGCTGTGTGCCACGGCTCACAAAGGCCACCTTCAGCACAGAAGCGTCGTGCCCCTCAAATGTCTGTGAGGGTGGGAACATGAGATGTCACCTGGTGAGATGTCACCAGGAAGGCCTGGAGCAGAGGAGATGCTGCTTACCTTGAGGCAGCTTAAATCCTGCAGTGACCAGAGCTTGATAGTGCCATCAGCTGAGGCTGTGGCCAGCACCTGATCCATGGGTGAGAACTGAACACACCAGAGGCCACGTCGGTGGCCTGAGAAAACTCCCACCAGCTGGCACTGTGGTAGGGCCCAGAGTTTGGCAGTGCGGTCCTGTGAGCCTGTGGCCAACAGCTTGTCATTGGGAGCAACAGCCACACTGTTGATGTCCTGGTGACGTGAAAAGGTGGTAACTCAGACCACCACCCCAGCAAGGGCTTGGCCACCCCCACCCCAGGGGCCATATATGGTCACCTTGTCATGACAGCGCTGGGTAGCCTGGGCCTGCAGAAGGATGGGGTCGCTGTCTGGGGCCATGCTCTTGGACAGCAGGGCTTCCGGGAGGGGCCACAATTTCACGGTGCAGTCCTGGCTGCCCGTCACCAGAAAGGATTCCTTCAGCCTGCACCCCAGTAGGAAAGAGGATTCTGCTGAGGGCTAGATAGCACCGTCAGTATAACACAGGAATGGCATCATGGACCATGGTCCAGACCAGTGGGACTGCCCAAGGATGCAAATTGGCTCTGGTCCTCTGAATGTCCACCTACTCTCAGTGTCCCATACCCAACAACTTGGTACCCCCAGGGGACCCGAGCCCTAGCATGGGTTGTCTTTTCCTAGTGGGCCTTGTTCAGTGCCATCCTCTCCACTGTGATGCCCTCCCCATTTTGTCCACACAAGGCTACTTCCAAAGAATTCCCTCAGGACACCTGGGCTGTTTGGGCTCATTTGCTCTTCCACATCCCTTGGCTAGAGCCTCAAAGAAAAAGGCCAAAGCTGTAATCTCTTCCTCCCACCTGTGAGCTGGAACCCCACCAGAAGGCTTAGGTTTCCACCTTTTCTACACCTCTGAATCCAGCTGTGGCCCCACTACCTGGAGCAGCAGATGGTGCCCACACTGTGTGTGTGTCCAGAACCCTGAGCCACACAGGACACCTGGCCAGCCTTGTTCATTCTCCAGATGCGAATGCTCTGATCCTGGAGACAAGAGGAGTTGAGGAGAGAGATTGGACTGTGGTCCTTTGCCTTCATTTTCTCTCCCAGAGGGCCTATACCTCCACACCTTTGGGGAGACTGACCTTGGCACAGCTGGCAAAGAGCCACCCCTTCCGAAACACATCCAGGGCCAGGACAATGTCTATGAAAGAGAAAGAAGTACTCAGAGGTCAAGTATGGTAAGGTAACAGGAGGTAGGCAACAATCAAACCCAGAATGGGGTTCTAGGGTATCAGTGGGCTTCACTTGCCTGTATGGCCATGGAGGATCTGGCAAGCTGATGTCTGTAGCTCAAAAACTTTCAGGCAGGGGCTATTGGAGGCCACAACGATGTGGGAATCCTTGGGTCCAAGGAACCGGACATCCAAAACCTCCTCGCTGTAGCCTGCAAACTGGGAAGGTCAAGAAGGCCATGAGCCACGTCCTTTATGAGTGGAAGGCTGGTCCCTTCAGCTTGGGCTGGGCAGGGGCATGTGTTCACCTGTTTCTGCAGCTGTAGGGAGCACGCTTCATAGAGTAGCAGGTTGTGATCAGCGGTGACACTGAGGAGCAGGTTAGCAGTGCGGACCAGGGAACAGTGGGTCAGCTCTCGCCCTGGGCCTGGCAGCTGTGGCTGGGTATACACACATTGCCCAGAAGCTGCTTCCCACACACGCAGTATACCTGTATGGAGACAGGGCTGCTGGGACTCACAGACTCATAGGCCTACCCTAAATCCTGTGGCCTGCTCGTGGTCAGCCCCACATACCTTGGTCACCAGCTGTCAGGAAATGCAGGCCTGAGTTCTTCACGCCCAGCATAGCAGCTGGCTCCTCAGGTAGCAGCACAGCGGCCTCCACACTCTAAGGGGGTTCAGAGGCTGCAGCTAGCTATTCCCCACTCCTCCCCCAGCCGGCCTCACTGGCCCTGCCCCAAAGTTGCCTGTACCTCAAACACTGGCACAGTCTTTGTGGCCTGGTGGCTCTGAAGGTCCCAGACAATGCAGATCTTGTCACGACCGGAGCTGGGCAAAAACAGCCACCTCAGTCCTGGAGTCTCAGCCTTGGCACCCAGTGAGATTTTCCCTGTCTCCCGAGGCCTGCATGCCCTTGCCTGTCACCCACCTCAGCATGCTGTGGCCATCGGCACTGAAGGCCAGGGATGTGACGGCACTATAGTGGGCAGTCAGCAGGGCCAGGCACGAACGGTCCTGCAGTGACCACACGCGAATGGCAGAATCTGCAGCTGAGGAGAAGAGCAGCAGGCGCGTGGGGTCCGGGTGGAAGGCCACCAAACTGCAGGTAGGCAGGGAATGTGTGAGCTGTGCCATCCAAGGGCAGTGCCTTTGCTCCCCACCCTCTTCTGCCCCCACTCACTGCACGACACCAGGTGAGCCCCGGAAGTGGTGTGTTCCGTAGTGCCGAACGACATCCCAGACACGCACAGCCCCATCACAGCCACCTGCAGGAACATGCTTGACGTGAGGGAGTGGATATGTCCAAAGCCCCTGCCCCACCCTTTTCAGTTCCCCTGCCCAGCTGGGGCCCTACCTGTGGCTAGCAGTGTGGACGTGGGGTCGAAGGCCATGGTGGCCACAGGGGCTGTGTGTATTGCTTTCCACAGACGGGTAACATGACCTTCTCGCCAAGCCCACTGAGCCAACAGCAGTGCTCGACTGGCTGTCACCAGCACCTGATGGAAGGTGCAGGTCAGCCTAAGGGTGAGGTACCCTCCTGTCTCAATGTGGGAGAAAACTATCAGAGATCACCTTCTGCCCCTGCCCCACGTACCTCATCGTCAGGACTGAGATCAAAGGCAGTGATATCTTCTTGGTCCTCCTAAAGGAAAGAACAGGAACATAGTGCCATGACAACCGGCTGCCCTTTCTATTAGGCCCCTCACCCTTGCTTACCCCATCCTCACCTGCTCCAGGCTCTGTAGCACAGTCCCGGAGGCCACATCTAGGACGTTGACTCTGGTACCACAGACGCAGAAGAGGTGCTGGCCTGTCTGGTCGAGCTAGGGATGCAAAGTCTCACATAAGGAAATACTAGGCAGCACTATACAGACCCTGCCTTCCCTCCCACCCTGGTCACCTTCAAGGATGGTACCTGTGCTTTCCCGCCCTTGTAGAAAGGCTCGATCTTGCGCTCCACAGCATAGCTGGGAAGAGAACAAAGGAGTAAATGATCACCCACTGTCTCTCCTGGTACTTCCTAATGCTGGGATGAGTGCTGTCCCAGAGGTGAACTCAACAAGCCCTTGCCCTTGCACAGTTCCAGGACAGCAGTAAGCAATCCAGAGGGACAAGTAACAAACTTTATGGGTGGGTGGCACTACAGTTCTCTCATGTTACAAAGAGGTTGACACCCTGGGCCGGTGGGTGATCTTCATGGAGTTTTGCAGCAGTTAAGAGGTGGGCTTGAATCAAGCAAAGCAGCCCAAGAGCATTTTCAGACCAAAGGGCCTTGGGGGCCCCCTGCTGGCTTCGGGAGGCTATCCCTAGGTAACTGAATCTAAGGCACCATCCTCTCCAGCATCTTCTCCCCTGGGGTCCAGCACCACTCCTCTCCACCCTAGATCCCTCTAATCCTAGCTTCACTTGATACTCCTCCCCAAGCAGCTGTCATTTCTGTGACCTCACTCATGCATGTCTGCTCCTTCCCTCTCCCCCTGGTTCAGGCCACTGCAATCCCCTCCAGATGGCCACTCCAACCTCTTCACTGGGCATGCTACCTACTTTCTCAACCCTGTTGCAAGTTACCTGCAGAGCAACTGACTATCTCACCAGCCTGCTTAAAAGCCTCCTGACTCTTAACACAGCTCTGAGACTTTGCCCAGAAGGGTCTCTGTCCACCTTTCTTTGCTCTCTGAGCACACACAGAAGCCCCTTGCTCCTGCCTTGGCCCCTGTGACAAGTCTTCTATCCTCTGCCTGTGCCCTGTGTATGCTCTGGCCCTCTCTTCAGATTCCAGTGCTGGGCCAACTCTACTCCTCAGGAAGCCTGCCTGCCACACTCTCATGCCAGACAAGTCTTTAGCAGGGGTGTTGTCATCACAAGTCTCTCTTTGCTAGTGCCTGTCACAACCTAAGGTGCACAGTCGCTGATGGAAATGATTTATCCCAAGAGACTACATTACAGTTACAGGGACGGGTCTGAGTTAACTCTCAGCGCTAGTTATTCAGCACAGGCTAGGGGACTGAATAGTCAATCACAGGACTCACGGCCTCCCCGCGGACCCACCCTCTTCCTGACCTTGCTCTTCCGAGAAGTGGGCCGACAGGAGAGACTTCCTCAGGCCGCCTGCTCATACACAGGTCTTCGCCTCCTGCCACCATTCAGGACCAACCCCGACTGTGCTCCGCTCGTGCTTCTCCTTTCCCTGGGATATCTTGTTCCCACTTTGCAGAACTAAAACGGACTCCTCCTCTAGTAAAAGACACCGCGTGCACCTGGCCTACCGCCCACCCAGACAGCAGCCCTTGAGTCGGTGGCGGCTCTCCAGCTTCCTATCCCTAGGCCTCTTCCACGACCCTGCGGGCCAGGTGGTCTCCCAGACCCGAAAGGGTATCCGGCCCACCGTGGGCATCGTTCCACGCGCGCGGCGGGCGCCTTTGTTCCTCCAGCAGCGAACCCGTGCCCCTCCCCAGGTGGCCTCCACAGCCCCAATCTTACTTGGCTTTAAAGCGGCCCACTCCGGCCGCGGTTTCAGCCATATTGTTGCCAAGGTCTCTGCCCTCGGGATCCTGCACCGCCGCCGCGTGTGGGACAACAGCGTGCCACTCCAAACTCTCGGCGCTGGGAGATGACTTTAGGACTAAGCCGTGGTGTGACGTCATCAGCACCGCGCCGTAGGCGCCACCTTTGTTGTGGGTAGTGGCTACTACGTCCGGAAGCGGAATCTGGTGGAGGTGTTTCCTACCTGGAGGGTGGGATGTGGAGGGATGTCGCCCGTGATCTGGGAATTTCATGGAAGTTTAAAAAGGCCACTGGAAGGCCGGGCGTGGCGGTGCACTCCTGTAATTCCAACACTCGGGGAGGGAGTGAGTCAGGAGGATTGCTGCGAGTTCAAATCCAGGCTGGACTACAAAGTGAGCCCAAGGCCAGCCTGAAATGCATTAGTGAAACCCTGTCTCAAAAAGACAATCAATCAATCAATCAGTCAATCAATTAAAAAAAAAAAGGGCCAGTGGAATTTTTTTTTTTTGTCAGTGGAAGTATTTACTTTTGCTGTGTAGCACTCTGGGGTTTGGGAAGTGCCGCGATCGGCCAGTCAGTGAATTAAGTAGAGTCAAAGTGACAACGAATAAATCAAATCAGGTAGTTTCAAATATTCAAAGTATTCAAATATTATCTTCTGTGTGCAGAACGCTGCTTAGTCGCTTGGAAGTCTTCAGGAAACAGAAATACCTGCCCTCCTATAGCTCACTTTCCCCGGGCGTGGTGGCGCAGGCCTGCAATCCCAGCATTCGGGAGGCTGAGGCAGGAGGATCTTTGTGAGTTCAAGACCAGCCCGGGCTACAAAGTGAACTCAAGGCCATCCTGAACTGCGTAATGAGACCCTGTCTCAAAAAGAAAAAAAATAAAAAATAAAAAATAAAAAGATTCTATAGCTCACTTTCAATTGGGTGGAAGGGAGGGTGGGCAGAGGAGGAGGCAGGGAATAGGGAATATTACCCTAAATGACTAGGGCTGTGCAAACAGCTTCCCAAGAGATGAGGCAGAGGTGTAGTTCAGTATATGTGCTGCCAAAGTGAGCACAGGATATGCAATTTAGTTTTCTTTCTTTCTTATAACTGAAGGTTGAATTCAGTGTTTTTGTAGTGACTTACATCTTCTGTGGGTTTTTTTGGTTTTTTTTGAGATAGGGTCTCCCTATGTAGTGCAGGCTGACCTTGCACTCACTTTGATCCTCCCCTGCCTCAGCCTTTCAAATGCTGGAATTACAGGCATGCACCACCAGGCCTGGCAGTTTTGTGGTTTCTGAAACTGTCCTCCTGAATTGTTCGGGTGGGTTGAACCTGTAATCCTCTTACTTTAGCCTCCCAGAGTGCTGGGTTTACAAGCATATACCATCATACAAGAGGTGCAATTTTAAATGGGGTGGTGGAGTAGGCTGAACTGAGTCAGCAATACCTGAGCAACTATAGTGAAGCATGGGGAGCCCTGTGGTTTATCTGGCAATTGTGCTGATAAAGAATGTGATGGGTCCTTGATTTAGGGTCCAGATTTTTAATGTACATTGAACAAAGAATTGCAAGAATATACCCGATGGTAAAATAAAAGGCAATTACCTGTACTGAAGTTATACTTAACAGGAAAGGTGTGCTTAGGTGTACAGATTCGTGCCAGTAGAAACAAAAGGGTGAGCAGGGCATGGTGGTGCCTCCCTGTAATCCCAGCACTCAGGAGGCTGAGGCAGGAGGATCTTTGCAAGTTCGAGACCAGCCTGGGCTACAAAGTGAGCTCAAGGCCAGCCTGAACTGCATATCAGACCCTATCTCAAAAAGACAAAAAAGCTGGGTGTGGTGGCGCACCCCTAAGATCCCAGCACGTGGGAGGCTGAGGCAGGAGAATCGCTGTGAGTTCAAGGCCAGCCTGAACTGTATAGTGAAACCCTGTCTCAAAAAAGAAAAAGAAAAAAAAGAATAGGGAGAAGAAAGATAAATCAGGCTTTTGGATTTAAAAGATGTGCAGCCCAGCCAGGTGTGGTAGAGCACATCTGTAATCCCAGCACTCAGGAAACGGAGGCAGGAGGATTGCCTTGAGTTTGAGGCCAGCCTCAACTACATAGTGAGATCCTGTTTTGAAAAAAACAACAAAACAAAACAAAAAACAAGCCAGTGGCTGCAGTCCCTCTAGAGGGACTCTAAGGGCAAATGTAAGAAGGCAGGATCATTGTAAGCCACTGTGTGGGCAGCTTTTACTCTGAATTCAGAGATTTGAGCCTATAGTACCATTTACTATAATGCTGGTAAAACAGATGGGTAGGAAGGAGATTGGGAGAGGAGACAAGGAAAACGTGTACAAGGAAAGACACTTGAGGGAAAAGAGAAAAGCAAGCAAGTGGAGAATGAGAGAAAGAACTTTCCAGGAGGGGGAATAGCCAGTGCCAATGAGAGGAAACATCTTCCTGGGATAAAGCTGGGCAACTGTGGTTTAACTGTACAGCTAAACTCCCTGAAGAAAATTGATGGTTGCTGGGCATGGTGTTGCACGCCTATAATCCCAGCACTTGGCAAGCTGAGGCTGGAGGATCCTTGCAAGTGAGCTCAAGGCCAGCCTGAACTGCATAGCAAGACCCTGTCTCAAAAAGACAAAAAAAAAAAAAGAAAGGAAAAAAGAAAATTGATGGTTATGACCCTGGCCATGCACAGGTACAGCTATGAGGTAATGTCAGTGGGGCATAGCACTGCTTGAGCACTGTTTGTCAGCCCCCATCACTGCTTTGCTTCTGTAACTTCACTTCATGCTGATTCTCAACGAAAAATTGCCTCGTAGGAAAGAAACAACGCAAAAGTGGAAACAGGGCTTTGTTCTCCATCTCAGGAGGATTTGAGTGCCTGTAGAGACACCAGCAGAATAAACTGCTTTTTGATCCTAAAACACTATTTCTTGTTGGTTCTATCAGGGATCTCATGCACTTTCCTGCTTCACCAAGACCTAGTGGGAAGTAGGAAGTGGGAGTGGGAAAAGATCTTAAAAACACCATAGAAAAAGTTTACAGTGCCCTGGGGTAGCCAGGCATGGTGGCGCATGCGTGGGATCCCAGCCCTCTGGAGGCTGAGGCCGGAGGATCACCGATAGTTCAAGGCTAACCTGGGTACATAGCAAGATCTTATCTCAAAAAACCCAAAAAACCCCCAAAAAACCAAAAAAAAAAAAAAAAAGAAAAGTGCCATAGGGTGTGTTTGTGGGAAGGGAGTAAGGCCTGGGGAGGTCAGCAGGGCAAAAGAATGTGGCAGAGAGGCAAAGTAGGTTAGGCCTGGGCTCCACATTTATTTATCCCTCTATTTCCAAGGTACCTTGGCCCTGTGCTCCCCACACCTCAGTCCCAAGACTATCGTCTTGGGGTGCGTCAGCTTCAGGCATGGCATCATCTTCCAGAAGGTGGCTGAGCTGGGCCAGCTGCCTGCGTATGAGTCTGGAGGAGCGGTGCACTCGGCGTACACGCCGCAGTAGTCCCTGCAGCATCGTCTGGCTACGCTCTTGTCGCTCACTCCAGGCCTCCCGCAGCTTGAGGTAGCAGTTATAATGAGCAAGCTCTGCCATGCCCAAGGTCGCCCCACAGCCCAGGGGGCAGTGCTGCTGGCCACCCTGCTGGCAGTGCTGCTGATGCTCAGCCAGGGCACCACGCAACACCTGGGCAGAGCAGCCTTCATTGGGGCAGGCCATCAGCTCAAACGGGCATGAGTCTTGGTGCCCCTTTCGGTGGGCCAGAGGGCAGGTTACCAAGCAGCCAGCTTCAGCATTCTTGCACTGGAGGTGAAAGAGAGGTATGTGTGAGCCAAACCAGCTACGGCATTGCCAGCTGGGCCTCCCATAGAATCTCATCTACTGAACCAAGAACCAGGTGAACTGGAAGCTGCCTGAGCTTTTCTAACTCCAGAAAGAACAGCTAACAGGGAACTGCCAGGAGGCAGGGAGATCTCAGGCATTCTAGAGGAAGGCACAAGCCTGAGTCTTATCAATGGGGAAATTTTAGTTGTTTTTTGAGACAGGGTCTGGCTATGTAGTTTAGGCTTGGCCTCAAACTTGTGATAATCCTCAAACTTGTGGTAATGGTTCTCCTCAAACTTGTGGTAAGCCTTTACCTTCCGAGTGCTGGGATTACAGATGTGTGTCACCACACCTGTTTTTTTTTTAATTTTAGTTTCTGGCCAGGTGTGGTGGTGCATGCCTGTCCCAGCACTTGGAAGGCTGAGGCAGGATTGTCAGAAGTTTGAGGCCAGCCAAGACTACATAGGGAACTTAAGGCCAGGCTTAACTATACAGCGAGACCCTGTCTCAAAAACAAAACAAAAAGATCTTAGTTTCACCATCTGTAAAATTAGGGGACTGAAGAGTAATGGCCAGCACACCAGGCACTTCATCCTCTAAAAATCCTCTATAATCCCCATTTACAGCTGAATACCAGCGTCTCAAAAAGGTTAAATAACTTGTCCTAAATTGCTGGGGAAGTAAGTGATACAGTCACTATTCAAACTTAGCCAGGTCTACTGACCCCTGGGCTTCACTGGGTTCTTTTTTTTTTTTTTTTTTTCAGACAGGATCTTGCTTTGTACTCCAGGCTGGCCTTGAACTTGCAGCAATTGTTCCAACTCAGCCTTCCAAGTGCTGGTATTACAGGTGTGCATCACCATGTTCGACATGCCTGGATTCCTCTTCCCCTTTCCTGGCTCTGCCCCACCCCCACCAAAGGTAAGAGTGGATGTACTGAGCTACCTTGACTTCTAAATGGCCAATGGTTCTCCGGAGTTTATTCACATAGACCATCTTTTTTCTTTTCACCTCTTTCCTGCAGCACGGACAGGTGTTTTGTCTGGAACAAGGCAGGAGTGGGATTGAGTGTTGGGGGGTGGAAGGGGTCAGTTAGAGGTGACATGGCTGCTGGGTTAACTCCACCTTCACTGGGTAATCCAAGTGGTCCTTCTCCAGCTGAAGGCGTAGGAGGTATAGCTTTCAGTTCCAGGGCTGGAGCCAGGAATGCAGACACCATGGAGAAAACCCAGGTTGGTGTCCCAGGTTTTGTGGCTGAATCTTACAGCCACTGGGACTCAGTGTTTGGCACACTTTCCCCTTTTGGACAACATCAATGGCCTCCCCAACCCTCCCAGCTCCCTGGGTACCCTTGTGGCACCTGGCTAGCCAATGAAGGATGCATTTTTTGCAGAAGATGTGGCTGCATGGCAACCTCATCGGCCTGTTGAGAACACCATGGCAGACGGAGCACAGGAACTTGGAGTCAGGAGGGCTGGCAAAGAGGCTGAGATCATACCCACCACTCTGCAAAGACCAGGTCAACGTTAGGTCTCACTGGGACCAGGCTCAGAGCTACTCCCTCCACATGTCCAGGAAAAGACCTTGGCAACCTTTGGGTGGGAAGAGTCAGTACTACTTGGGAGGGGCCAGTTGCAGGAATCAACTCCTAAGACTACCAATTGTAATTGTGGGGTAGAGAAGCAGAAACCCAGGTAAAGCCTCCCGAAAGTCCTCCTCGTCTCATACAGGGACTGTAATCCACTGTCCATCCTTTCTCAGCAGAGTAGTGAGCTCCATCCCTGGACTGCTGAGCATCTGTCCAGACTTGGGAATATTATTTCAGAAGTGGAAGTAGGTGGGCCCCAAGCTTACCATGCTCTGTGTCTGGATGGCACCTCCACTGACACCAGCGTTCAGGAGCCTCCATTTTATATCAGGTGTAGGATGACATCACAGTGGCATTGCCCACTGTGACAGCTCAGGCAGTCACAGTTGTGGCCCAGGGTTCATGCGGACCTTGCACCATCTAGCTAGCCCTTGCTGCCCTCTCTAATTATAAGTAGGACGGCCCCAATTCAGGACAGGTCTATGAACCTTTTTCCTTGCCTTTTTTCTTTGAGACAGGGTCTCACTATGCTGTTCAGGCTGGCCTTGAGCTCACTTTGTAGCTCAGGCTGGTCTCAAACTCGCAACGATCCTCTTGCCTCAGCCTCCAGAGTGCTGGGATTACAGGCATGTGCCACCACGCCCGGCTTCTCCTTGCCTTGGTTGTGGCTCACAACTGATTTCCCAGCAGCACTAAGCAGGGAACCAAGGTCAGCACAAGCACAGGAACTGCTGCCTCCCATAGTCCTGCCCAGGTAGCCAGGTCTCCAAAGACTTTAAGGGCATTAGACATTGAACCATGGGTTCTCTTCACTAACATCCACGACTGGGATGGCTCCATAGAAGAGAACTAAATCCTGGCACAACTTGTAGCCTCTTTTCTGCATCCAGGGCAGGTTGACCACTTGGGCAGACATGTGCAGAAGGCCCGGGTGATACATGCTCCCGTGGTTCAGCATCATTAGAATTCGAACTACCTAAGCCTAGGCAGCGCCAGACCTTTCAAGGATTATAGGAACAGGAACCCACTGAAAACTCATGAGTTGTGAACTCTGTACTTCTCCATCATTGTTTGGGGTTTGATGGCCCAGCTTCTGTTACTTTAGCCCTGAGCACTTCACCTATTGGTGCTGAGGTTACGTCTGGAGCACAGACACAGACCTGGTTTTCAGACTGGCTGACATGTAGGTATCACCTGCCAGTCTCCCAACCATTCATTACCTTTGTGGTGTGTCAAGGTGGAGGTGACCTGGTGTGGGTGAGGACATCCCACTACGGCTCGTGAGTTGATTCCTGCAACTGGCCCCTCCCAAGTAGTACTGACTCTTCCCACCCAAAGGTTGTGAGATCTCGCGGTGTTTTGTGAGCTACAAACGTTTCTTGTCGCAATACTGCACATCTTTCAGACAGACAGGTAGGGAAAAACTACAAGACCAGTCATACGTGGAAAATTGAGTTTTATTTGAAAAATGAGAAAAAAAAAAAAGAAGAAAGAAAAATGAGGACAATGGAGTTCTGCCCACGCGGTCCTAGTGTCGTCCGCCTCGGGGCAACGGGGAGTCCTGTGAAAAAAACAGTAGGGGGTCAGGGGTCTAAGGCGGGGGCCAGGCGCGCGTGCAGCTGCCGGGGGTGTCGGGGCCTGGGTTTCACCCTCCCACACCGGCAGCGGGCGGTGAGCTAAGGCCCCTGGACATTCTGGGCGCCGAATCTCACCCACGACTATGGCCAAAGCCGTGGGTGATTTTCAACAAACGCCGGACTCCAAGCCACTAGCACGTACGCGCGGCGCTTTAGCCGATCGAACTTACCCGGGAAAGACGAAACCGCGCGGGGCCAAAGGAAGTCAAAAGAACCACGTCGTGTGCGCGCCTAATTACAGCAGCCGCCACTCTGCGCAGGCGCAAATCGCGGTCCGCGGAGGCGCACGCAGAGCCAATCACAGTCGCCGATGGGCGCTCGGGGCGGGGCAACCGAGATCTCGCGGCGTTTTGTGAGATAAAAGTTTCTTGTCGCAGCGTCTCGTTCTTCTTTCTCGGGGAAACACGTGAGTTGACTTCTTTGTAATGGCGGTTCGTGTTCTGTGCGGTGGGGATCCGCGAACATCGGGCCAAGCTCGGGCCGGTGGGACTTGGACAGGTCAATTAGGGTGCCCCTGGCGGCTGCAGAGCCCTGAGCCCCATTGACTGTTACTGTGGCTTTTTACAGCAAATGGCGGATGACGCCGGTGCAGCGGGAGGGCCCGGAGGCCCCGGGGGCCCAGGCCTGGGAGGCCGCGGCGGCTTCCGCGGAGGCTTCGGCAGTGGACTTCGAGGCCGCGGGCGCGGGCGCGGCAGGGGCCGGGGCCGAGGCCGCGGGGCTCGCGGCGGTAAGGCCGAGGACAAGGAGGTAGGTGTGCGCCTGGGCGGGGTTGATCCTGGGGTTGAGCGCCCCGGAAGCGGCCCTGTTGACGGATGTCTTTCTTCACAGTGGATTCCTGTCACCAAGCTGGGCCGGCTGGTCAAAGACATGAAGATCAAGTCCCTGGAGGAAATTTATCTTTTTTCCTTACCCATTAAGGTATTGCTGTGACAGTCTAGCCTCTGTCCGGGGAGCGTCATTTGGGCGAGAGTCGGAGGGTTGAGATCTGCTATGGTCAGCATCGAGAGGGTCTCTTGGTTTGTTTTGTGGGAATCGAACTCACGACCTCACGCTTGCCAGGCAGGCGCTGTGCCGCTGATCTAAATCCCCAGCCCCAAAAGGGTCTCTTGGAAAGAAGGTGGCAGTTGTGAGAATGTGGGTGCACTGATTCAGCCGGGAGTAAGGAGACTTAACTTTGAAAGAGATTGTCTAAGCCTGGTTCCACCATCGTGGTTCCACCTGGGGTGAGTGTTTTTATGTTACCGTTTTTTAATATTTTTGCCAAAAATCTCATTTGTTGCAGGAGTCTGAGATTATTGACTTTTTTCTGGGCACATCTCTCAAGGATGAAGTTCTAAAGATCATGCCTGTGCAGAAGCAAACTCGTGCCGGCCAGCGGACCAGGTTCAAGGTATCAGGACCATTTGTATTTGGGCTGTTTGTATCAAAAAGGGGTGGGTGATTCTCTCCACTCTGCACAGTTACACTACTTGTGGTGTGACTTTCGTACCGGAGAGAGACAGAAAAGAGTTCTTCAGGACCCTGAACTGGCCTCATGGTGGCCTTTATTTCTTTGAGGAGCACAACAGGTCTTGGATGGTGGTGGGTCTCTATCCTGTGGAGAACCACCAGCTATCTCACAGTCTCTTCACAGGCATTTGTTGCCATTGGGGACTACAACGGTCATGTTGGTCTGGGTGTAAAGTGCTCCAAGGAAGTAGCCACTGCCATTCGTGGTGCCATCATCCTAGCCAAGCTCTCCATTGTCCCGGTGCGGAGAGGCTACTGGGGGAATAAGATCGGCAAGCCCCACACTGTCCCTTGCAAGGTAAGACTCTTGCGGGGGAGTGATGATGGGTCTACAATGGAGACATGCTTTGGCTCTTACTCCTGATTTCTTTTTTCAGGTGACGGGCCGCTGTGGCTCTGTGTTGGTGCGTCTGATCCCTGCCCCCAGAGGCACTGGCATTGTCTCAGCCCCTGTGCCCAAGAAGCTGCTGATGATGGCTGGTATTGATGACTGCTACACCTCTGCCAGGGGCTGCACTGCTACTTTGGGCAACTTTG